TATCTTTTTTTATTGACCCAGAATGGAAATTTCATTCACCGAATTCATAATGCATTTACCTTTAAAACCTTATTGCTTTCATTGACCGGAAATGTAAGTATTGTGGGTAGAGACTTCCGGCTACTATGACATTGTCTCGAGCGGTAATCTTTACTTTGTCGAGGATGGGTAGCTTCATCATAATTCATTAAAGATAATAGCATAAAGAAGAAAAAAAGTATGTCTTCTTACACTAATTTTACGGGACCCTTCCCGATAATATAACAAATTTAATTTATAAAATAATTAATAGAAATAATACATAATTTATAGATAATATGTAGTTGTAGATAATTTATAGAAAATGAAAATTAAGAAAGATAATAAAATGATAAAAAACATATAATTTCTAAAATAAAAAACGGAATAGATTCAAAATCTCTCTCTTTCTTTCCCCCTCTCTCTGGATTTAACATTCTTAAATTTTTAATACTATTAACTAATTTTTATTTTGAGTATATATATATATACTCAAATGTATCGCGAATCGTTCGAACTCTCGACCCTTCCACGGACTTTTCAGTATCACGAGCGTGACGATAACGGGGGCACGAGGTGGTGGGGAAAAAGGCGCGCGTTAGAAAGCCCTAACTGCCTGGCTACAGCTGGTAAAATCGTTCCTCAGTAAACCTTCAGCGGTCGTCGATCGCGGTTGTTGTGCGTTGTCTGTGCCAACTTGAAGACCTCATTTCATTGTTCCCATTAATGAATAATACATTAGATTCTTTTCCTCTTCAACATGAAAAATTGTCAAAGAGAGATCGATCTTAAGATTTGTGTAAACATATAGTACGCTTCAAAAAAAGTCCAGAGAAAATAACGAAACCTTAAACCGTAATCTTCAGGAACAAAATCTTGTCGTCAAAAATGCAGTGCTGTCAATTATTATCAGAAAAATATTTTATTATTAAAAAAAATATAGTATAAATTTTGCAAATGATGTATATTATATATGTTAACGTGTGTGCTCTAAAACTTCAACGAAGATTATCTTCATAAATATATACCGTTGCCGTTTATATTAAATACAAAACTGCAAAATAACTACAAATAAATATTACAAACTGAAAACAATTTGAGCTGTATTGAGCTGCAAAGTTGCAAAAGTTGCCAGCACACCCAATACTAAACAGATAAGATAAAAAAAAATGTGACGATTACGGGCAGTGGTATCCATTATCGGTCGTCTCGTTCATCGGCAAGTGAAATTCCCCTCTTGTGCAAGTAGGTCGCAAACACATGTTAATACGAAACAAGTACATATACGACGAAGCCCGTGAGACATTCTTTCGAAAGTCGTTTTGATACGCAATTTTATTGATGGAGGACAAAAGTCCAAGGCGATCATTACCAATTATATCATTATTTCTATTAAATCTAAAACCGCCATTATACTAAAGTTCACTTAGGTGTGTGATATGTGCATAAAGTATGCGTAGAATCGCAAGTAGTTATATGTCCTTGAATATATCATTTGCATCTCGTACATGGAATGAAGTAAACGCGACACCACCGCGAACGTTACCAAGAATTATGATATACGCTTAGACGGATAGGTTTACCGCACGTACAAATCGCGTGTTCAACCATCAAGAAAGGAAGTCCTCGGATGTCAAGAGCAATTGCTATTGCGAAAGGAAGAAAGCGCACAGTTCGAAAGTAGCGCGCGGGAACCGCAATAGAGAATCGGCATCAGCAACTGATCGTTATTGAAATCAAAGTGTGCTCGAAATTAATCGCGACACCCGAAGCAACGACATTCGAATTGCGTTTGAAAGGAATTAAAAATGCTGACTTATGCGAAAGCGTCGAGGAGCTGTAACTTTGAACGAGCGATTATCTTACGGAGGTAGAATCGAAAGTAGATTCGAACTAATCGGAGAAGCAAGCTGGGAAGATCGGAAAAATTAAAGGAAATGTTTTTCGGATAATGGAAATGGTGAAGGAAAAGCCACGCAGACGAAGCGTGAGCGAGCTGCTCGACTGGAGATGCCTGGCTGGATGCAAGGACACCATCGCCAGGAACGAGAACGGTAGAGGAGAAGAACTTTTCCTGTTGGATCGTGACAGGGAACCGGAAACACGCAGGCGGAAACGATCCGGTACTTGGCCGTGAGTAAAAGTTCATCAGAAATTACGGGAGAAAAAAACAACGAAGAATGTCAGTAAACAAACCCGATTTAATCACCTTTTTCAGTCTATTTTAGACATTTTTCCACAAGGAATTTTAGCGATATTTTTTTTTACCCTATTTTTTCTACATATAAATAGAATGCAACTTATTACTTTTATCATTAGATTTTTTATTTTATATTACAGTGCAATTTTGATTACTCTTCGAGTATGCAGGCTTATGTAACGGACAACTTTTAATTAATTAATTCTAAGATAAACTTAAAATTTCCTTAGTGGTGATATACATATAATCGTGTGAAATAATATAAGCGATTTCAACCCCGATATCGTCCAACGGATCTGGCTCTCATTCAAGAGGCTCGGATTCGATTCCCGGTATAAATACAGTAGCTTCTTAGATTGTAAGCACCATCGCTTTGAATCGTGCCGTCTGTTTGGACGCATATACTCTTTCAAAACTTCCCGCAAATCTTTTCGACAGCTCATTTTTGAAACAAAATTTAAGTAGGATTACCGTTAAAAAGCTTACAAGATTAGATAAAACTTTGAATTAGTTTGATAATTTAGAGTTCAACTTGTGCGCTTTCAACAGGCTTAAAAATTGTAATTATATCTGGGAGACAATTATTGTACATATATTTTTATTTTCTGGAATTTGATTTACTTTTGGCTCTTCAATTAGATTCGCTAAAGTTTAAAATGTTACAGTGAAGATATCTTCTTACCTGGCTCTCACCCAAAAGGCTCGGATTCGATTCCCGAAAGATCTCTTATTGTTGGTTATAAAATCTAATTTTTTTATTTCAACATATAATATATCCAAATTTTTGCAAACCTAAGCGATCAACAAATGACAGCAGTGATGCTTCTAATATAACATCATTTATAAATATAATCGCATTAATTGATCGCGATATTATTTCATCGATTATTGCAAAATCGTTACTAAGTACGAGGCATCGAGCGAACACACCTTCGCTAACACGAAATCACTGACCGTTTAATTTCGCAATTATATTGAAATCACGTAATTTGATTTCAACTCGTAATGTAATACGAGACACAACACATAGTAGCTTGCTCAACACTTTTGGCATGCTACGACATTATTATCATCTTGGATACTGGATTCTGAGAAACATTAAGAAAATCGCTTATAAAATTTGTTTATTCTAATTTATTTATTTAGAATATAATGATAATTTAAACGGCCCCAAAAAGTGGTTAATTGTTTTTTAATTTGTAGATAATAAAACATTATTATAAGATGCAGAAAAAAATCATTAAAAATACAGAAAATTACAAAATTAAATATTAAATGCGATGAAAAGCTAATGATACAACTTTAAAACTTTCCTTTCAAAATTCTTCGATATTTCCCGCAAATGAAATTTATTTGATCGGATTTCTCTCGATCGCATTTCTCGATTTACCAAGAAGCCGAAACGAAAGTTGCATATGAGGGAGTTGAATGGATCTCTCGAATCAAAACAAATAGGTTGCGTGCTTGGAATTGATTAGAGTGTCCGCGCCTGCGTGCGTCGTGCTGGGCGTCACGACGCCGGCGTTTCACGACCTACGAGATCAACGTCGTCCATATCCGACACGTTCTTCCTCGTGGCGCGTCAGTGCCCAAGCGTGCCTTAATCGTGTCGGTCCCGCATCGCTCTAATTATTGCGCGAGCATCGTCTTCTCTTCCACTCTTGCTTCTTGATTTATCGTGTATCGATCGCTGAATGGACGAGGACGAATTAAGGTATCGAACAATTTCCTTCATTACTATAACTCGTATCTCGTTTCAAGAACGTACCCCATTCTTCTCTACAACATATCGGAAAATATTTGTCTTCTTTTTTTTTATTTTTTTCGGAAGGGGAACACTACGTCATTGCGAGAGAGAGATTACGTTAATTGACATTTAACTGCACGTGCATCCGAATACCCGAGAATACGCCCGCTTGAATCGCTGCAAAAGGAGCACTTTTTGTTGCTCCTTTCTTTGAGAGAACGCGTTCGAGAACCTTTCGCCGCACACACATTCCATCCCGATCCGGCTTTTGAGCTCGACGGGCTTGCGCGCGCGCATGAAGCCTCCTTCGCGCTGTCCATCGGAATTTCAGGAATTCGCGCTCGATGCAATCGATTACAGAAACGAGTGCATGCATTCTCACCGTTCTCTCGGCTGGAGGTTGGAGCCAAACGCGTCATCTTACCAGATCACTTTCCGTCAAGATCTTTGTCTCGCTCGGCGGTGGATCCCCTCGTTATATATACCTCGAGTTCCCCATCCAATCGACGTAACAATTACGACAGCGTCATATGAATGTTTAATATTTTACCCGACACGCGCGCGTGTGTTTATTATGTTTATTTTATTCATTATATTCACACACACATTATGATACGATTTCTTTTTTTACATAAAAACGTCTTTATCGTTTATAAGAAGAGCGTGTGACTGATATATTACTCAAACCGGTTATGGATTTATGAATATAATAAATGTAATGAACGTACGTCAATATATACGTCTAAACATAATGAACATGCATGCCGAATAAAAAATTATATTAAAAATTTTAATCATGCTGACAACTACATCAATCACGATTGATTCAAAAAGTTTCTTCTCCTTTTATTTATCAAATAGAATTGGAGGAAAGGTATCCAGGGAGAAACGCGAGATCGGATAGACGTCTATTGTGGCGTATGTGTATAAGTCTGAGCCATCTAGTCTAAAACAGCATCTAGAAATATCTGAATTAGATGCCATGTAATTTTATATAAATATATCTATATACATATCATCAACAACAATAATTATATCAATCGAGTCTTATGATGTGACATTTTATCCTCATATCGTAATTACTCGACTCTACTTTCAAGGATGCCGTCGCACTCGCTCTTGTAACTGTGCAAATCGCTTTCTTCACACGAAGAAAGTGTTGTTACGTCAACATGTGCGCCTCGAGCGAAAAGACAGCTACGTTGAGGAGGTATACGCGGACGACAAAAATATACCGACTTAATCGCCTCGTAGCATTAGCGACTAGAATTATCTCGGCACGTCGCCCCTTGGGAAGGTTACTACCTGCAGCATCGACACGAATCGCAATTATTACCGACCGCCAGAGATAGGGAATCTCATGATTGTGGGCGACTCGGGCGAGAGAGATTCATTCTGCGCGTGGCCATCTCGCCACTCGGTCGCTCTCTCACGTGTGTGTCCGTGTGACATTAAGAATTTAGAAAAAGAAAGAAATTCATATTCACGAATTGACCTTTCAAGATTTTCTTATCGTGTGTTCAATATTTCAATATCAGTGCGCGAGATGTCCGGTGATCCTATTTGTTTCACGCTAGTGCAATGACTCGAGAAATGACGCTCGTGAGAGTCATTTGTTTAGACATCGGGAAATTAAGTCGAAAAGACAGATCACCATCCGGCGTACGTCACAGCGGCTTCGATGGATAAAGTTTCGAACAACGTTCAAGGTTGTGAATATCGTATGACAGAGTCGGATAAATCTTTTTATGCAAATGCTTCTCTGTCCTTGACGCTAGCTCCGCTGCATTCAACTATGCGTGATGTCATATGTTTTATTTTAATTAACAGCGTTATATGAGCGTCGCGAAAATTTTCTTCTTTGCTCGAGATACGGTATAATGATAGACGGTGATAGAGCGAGAATCGTAAAATCTGTGCCTCTACGATTGATACCTTCGAGAAAAGGAAAGCTTGTCCTCGAGCGTACTTTCGATGGCTTCTCGATGAGCGAAGGACGCCTCTGTGCCATCATCTCGAAGAACGAGATCAAGATACTTAGAATTTAGGCATTCACTCCGAAATGATTAAGAACGAGTTTAGAAATCCAATCGCACAATCGCGCTCGTGAAAGTCGCGTACTTTGTAACCGTGAAATTACAGTATGTTCCAAGAGAGTCATCTGCTTAGCAATTTTCAACAGGTCGAATAAACGAAAGAAAGTTTTAAATAAGAGAAATGTATTAAGCGATTATCCTGATCCCTTAATTAAGCATAGCGGAACAAATTATATCGAAAACGTAGTGACTCGTCTTTTTTTATACACATTGCATTCTTTTAAATGTGTTGCATCGTAAATTTTGATGAGTAGCAAGACGAATTTATCCCGCTATTTAAAAGCGCGAAATTGGATTGGTATTAATTTTAGCATCCGTGATTTCTTCTTGTGTGATGGCGCGCGCGAATCTCAAAATAAACGATTTTGGCAACACTCACGTCGAAAGCATGCACAGTCCAACGCGATTGTAGCACGATACTCACATGTGTCTTACATTTTAATAACGCTCGAAGATATCAGAATTTAGCTACTCATGATGATTCTTGACATTTTATCAAATTCTCTTTTGCATTTTTTATCGGTAGCGATAAAACAATGAAATCAATAAGTCCCTGACAATTTCATCATAAATGTTTTAAAATATTACGTGCACACTGTTGCTTTTTGCTCTTGTAAAGAAGTTTTTTATCATCTAATGATAAGATGACGGATCAGATTTCGCTCTTGCATGACAGTGACGTCACAGCACAATATGACTTCGTTTGCGATGTCGTCGAGCTGCAAGATGATGGATCGAACGATTCGTCGATGGAGAGTAATCCACGAAATCGCGTACTCAGGTAGATCATTTCCGATAATTTTTTTCTGCCACGAGCGATAAGAAAGCAATTTCGACGTGTAGCGATTAGTAATTCATAATTCATTGCCGCGCGATAAGAAATTTTAAAACCCGACGTATTGTGTTTGTACGAATTATATCTAAGATAATATTTAATATGTGTGTGTATATATACACAGTCTCGTGTCAAGTTATAACTTTCGCGCCGACGTCGACTACACTCGGTTACAACGCGAAGATTGTGGAATGAAGTTGCGACTGAAGAACTGTTTTTATACTAAAATGTATTTTCCTCATCAAGTGCGCGTCCATAATTTCTGTTAAGCCATAAAATTAATGCGGCTTAGGTTGCAACACGATAAAGAGTCGGGAAAAAAAATTATCTAGTATATTAAAATGCATTGTAATTGCAGCTTATTTATATATTGATAAGTAACAATAATTACTATGAAGTAATAATTACCTTGAGTCAACGTTATCGTGAACAATACGCAGAACGCATGCGCAACTGATTACGTATAAATATTAATTCTTACGGTCATTAATATGCACATACTTGATAATACATCATTTTAAAGTACAATTAAAAGATAGAACGCAACGTAATCGTTAAAAAAACTCCAAGTTTCCAGTTTTTTTTTTTTTTACTTTACTTTTATTTTTCTCTATATAACTTTTTTCAAAATATATTAATGAAAAGGAGTTATTTTTCGATATGAGGAAGCGATTGCTTCGGTACTTTTCCCATTCACCAGAGAATAGATGAGAAAGAAACGAATATATATATAATATATATAAGAAGGGATCATACGAAGGTCAGAGTCTTGAGTTGAATAAACTTGCATTTTTTCCCGGTACCTTCACTCGATGAAATTAGTAGGGATTACACAGCGAATCTGATGACATTTCTCGTGTCTAATACATTTGTTTGTCTTTTTCGTTTTTACAGAAGAACGAGAAGCCTAAACGCACCCAGTCCTGTTCAAACATTCGGGCCATGTGGGCGTATCATGAAGAATTCCGCAATGGTTATGTAAGTAATCGTATTTTTTACTTGAGACAAATTTAAAGGCGCGATTAATTATTATTTCATCGAAAATTTTTCCACCATTTCATTTTCGATCGAATAGATTTTATTATTATTCGTGCATTTTTTATTTGCATTGAAAATCGTTCTTAATGATCGCACGTACTCTCATTCTCTACGTCAGCATCGCTAAATAAATTACGGAAGAATATTTGACGATCGCGTCGCACTATTGATTAGACTTATAATATTTATAATAATCATAGATTGATTGAAAATAGTTATTAATTAATTTTTAGTGATAGAAAAGGCTGCTTAGTGCGCTTAAGTAAACTACTCGTCGAACGATATTTGCTTACTTTGGTGGGAAAAATTTTAAATTATATCTTCATTACCAAACAATCAAATTAAAATGCTAATCGCGTCGTTCATATAGTAAATGCCGAATATACTAGAAACGGTTGACCGTAAATTCATTTGCATTTCTTTCTGCAAAGAATGATGACTAAGCGCGACCAGACGGCAGTTTAAATGCATTATAATCGTTAAGATACTATCTTTTGCAATAGCTAAAAAATTTTTACGTACCTTTGAATTTTTTCGTCATTTAATTATTATACTGCCAAGTATTTTGTTATTACATCACTTAATTCTTTACATTAGCTTAATTTCAAATATTTATTTAAAATATCTATTTTGGATGATTCTAATTTTATTAGAGTGCAAATTTTATATACATATGTATAAAAAATTGGAGTCTCCACATCTATTAATTGACTTGTAACCTGCATGTTAAGAAGAATTTTGGAATCAAATGTTATAACAGTGGATGCTCCACTATAAACGGCATAAATGCATATTTTTTTTTATTTGATGGAATGTATATTCGTATAGAAAATGTTCGAGTTGTGCGCATTCTGTCTTATAACATGTTTAATTTCATATGAGAAAGTTCTCGCGTCCAGCATACTTGCATTAGAATGTGCATCAATGTCTTTACACTTTCGGGATCCGGAATTATAAGACATTTATAGGATATTTTCGGTTCGACGCATCGCGTTTAGATATTTGTGCATCCCGTCTCGAAATCCTAATATCTTGATATTTTGTAAGCGTTTAATATTCGCCAAAGATCATAAACACAATATTCAATAACAAAGTTATAGCTCATATAATTTTAAAGCGATAAAAAAAATATGGTTCTATTTAACCAATACTTACAATGTAAGAATATCTAGACACGGTGCGCCAAATTCTTTCTTAGAAGCGGAAAAGTAAAAAATTTCTCCATAGAGAGAGAGAGAGAGAGAGAGAGAGAGAGAGAGAGAGAGAGAGAGAGAGAGAGAGAGAGAGAGAGAGAGAGAGAGAGAGAGAGTGTCATGTTTCTCTTTCCCTGAAGGAAAAATTACAAGGTCTCCATTTTGGAAATGTTGAACCCTATTGTATATAGAATAATGAATTGGAGACATTGGTGATGCGATTTCCCGCGCGTGCACGTGATGTACACGCGCGCGTGCGCGATGTTTTACGCTTAAATGTCCGTCTTACTTAAGTTGCTTGGTCAGTAAGCTCGCGTCGCTCAGCCGGTGCTATCATGGTTGGAATCAAGATGTGAGTTGTTAATTAATGTGCACGATACTTTTTAATTTGCTCGCACATTACCACCTAACATTGTGCATTTTCGTCGGGGTTACAGAGAGTTATTTTTCGTTACTTAAATTTAGCGGGCGCGACTAAAGTTCCGATCGAAAGAAAAAGTCTTACATACGTACAGATTATAAGTGTTTAAGATGAATTGTTCTGAGTAAAATCTGAGATATTTTTCCTGTGAATTCATTATACATTCCTCAAATTAAATATGTCGTTCTCCCTTTTTCTTAGAGAATGTTTAAAAGTCATATAAAATATTATTAATATCATCAAGGCACGCTACATGCATTTGTTTTGATGATCCTCGTGGAAGTTCATCGGTAGTCCAACAAAATTATCAATTATGACACATAAGTATTCTAAGATTATCTGTTGAATACTTTTGTAACGGCTCATTAATATAGATATCTCCGACTCGTAATCGTAATTTTTATTGACTAAATATTCGAGATATTTGAAATGGGGAATAACAAGTTAGACGCGACTCGGATCAGTGCACGAGCAAACGCACGCGTGTTCGTTCAATTGTGTCCAGCGGTAAAAAAGATTCGCCGCGTTTAATCAACGCGTGTTGATTCTCGCAACAACGTCATACCTGATAATTGCCACCATTAAATAAGTTGTCGCGGGTTTATTTTTCCTTTTTATTGATAATTGGTCAACTATTAACCGGTTGTAAGGTACAAAAAATTATAATATCCGCGTTTTTAGAATGTTTTAAATGTCACTTTTGAAGATGAATATTTGAAGAAAAAAATATTAGTTACGCAATTTAGTCTCGTCAATTTTTTTCTTTGGTCATTTCTTCTATACGGAACATTGAATTTGCAGTCTTTCAGTCGGCGCATAAAAGACTCTCCGATGTAATACAATAACGTGATCATCATGTTAATCATAAGCGGCAATCGTAGCGTCATTGTCGGGTCATACTTTTTTACATTTCATAAGTCGTTACCTTTGTCCCTATGCTTCGATTGTTTCTTGACGGCTATAAAAGATGTAACAGTGGCCAACGAATAATTAGACGAAGCCCACAGAATCGATAGAGACATGGCAATTGATCGAGAACACGAATCTAAAATTCATTTCCCCTGGTTCCGTATAAGGTACCGTATTCTTATTTGAACTCGCAGTGAGTATCTTCTTACACGATACTCTATATAAAACATAAATTCTGGTATACAAGACACACGTGTAACAACTGAATTAACGCGATCGATTATTAGAGAGAAATATTTTTTTTTGCATTGGAGAGAAATATACAAACATCGTAACAATTTGGTTGCACAGGACCATTCAGGATCCAGCCTCCCAGAGGTTGACATGGTACAAACCACCGCTCACCGTTTTGGTCATCAAGAAAGTTCGCGACTCGTCAGTCCTGCCACCGTTTGTTCAAATGGTCACATGGCTAATACAGGTAAATGTTAATAAAATTGTTTCAATAACTTTATCTCGCGAGAAGTCGATTAGCTCTTGTTTACAGTTGATTGACGTAACAGTCCACTTTCCGTAATGGAACGTTGCAAAAAATTAATTTGCTTCATTTGCATAAAATGAAAGAAAGAAACTGTCCTCGTTACCAATCCGTATCTTCTCCACGCATTCTTAATTTCATATTAGTCTAGTTTTATATTTAATTCACATTAAAAATATATCGTCTTTTTTTTATTCACGACAATTGCACTTTGTAATGTATTAACTATATAAGCACATTGTTGACTTGTCAGACATATAAGCGTCAGGTATATGGCTGTTAGTAAAAGAGAAATCGTCCTTAACCCATGTGAACTATTATTATTCTTACATTTTCTCTAGTATTAAAAATACAGTGCCGAAAGTATGTTATTTACCTTTACTTGCTCGTATTAGATGATTAGAGTCTTAAAATTTCGTTTCCGTAATGCAGGAAAAGCGGATGGTGGTCTTTGTGGAAGCATCTGTTTTGGAAGATCCAGCCTTGGCCAGAGATCCCAGATTTCAAGGTGTTCGCGACAAATTACAGACTTTTAGAGACGGCACGGATGAATTGCAGGTAATAATTTTCTCCATTTGACATTTACAAGTTATCGTTTGTTATAATTTTTTACGATGTTTCTCATCAAATAAAATATGAAACTAAAAATTTACTTACATATTTACGAATCGAATTTGATGCAGTTATTTATCGTATGATAAAAAATAAGCAATCTAATTTTGTATGCCACAAATAATTATATTATTAAAAAACAATGAAATTTACACTAATTTATCAATATCTTTGCTCTTATATTAATAAGATGTCTAATTTTTTTATTTTTAGGATCGAATTGACTTTATTGTCTGCTTGGGAGGCGACGGCACACTCCTTTATGCCAGTCTGTTGTTCCAACAATCAGTGCCACCTGTAATGGCATTTCACCTTGGTTCCTTAGGATTTCTCACCCCTTTCGAGTTCGACAATTTTCAGGAGCAAGTGACCAACGTTCTCGAAGGTTAGCTGTCAATTTATTCGATTATTCGTAGTTTTTCGTGTATAGTCAAGCTTATAACTTTTCGCTTCTCGGCACCAGGTCATGCAGCTTTAACCTTGAGGAGTCGTCTAAGATGCATCATCATGCGCAAGAACGAAGAGGGTCAACCGACTGAACCACCCACTAATCTCCTGGTATTGAATGAAGTTGTGGTAGATAGAGGACCCTCGCCTTACCTATCGAACATTGATCTATTCATCGACGGCAAACACGTGACGAGCGTCCAGGGTGACGGCTTGATCGTGAGCACGCCAACCGGATCAACTGCCTACGCGGTCGCCGCTGGAGCCAGCATGATTCATCCTTCAGTTCCTGCCATCATGATTACTCCGATCTGCCCTCACTCTTTGTCCTTCAGGCCGATCGTCGTACCTGCCGGCGTCGAGCTCAAGGTAGCTTTTTAAACTTTTCGACGCCAATCGACACGTTAATTTAGTTTACACCAGATATCGTGATGGCTGAATTAAAATTTCTGAATAATTCAGAAATTAACATCCTTTTCAGCTCACGTCTATAAAGTTAGACACATGCTCTGTTTGTTCCTTTTAAGATTTATAACAGGCATTATTTAATTAATTTACTCGATGCAGCAATTTCGCGTAAATCGATAAAGAGTTCTTTTACCGCGCCCCGAGATGTATGGACCATGTCAATATCCCATAAAAGGAAACCTGGTTCAGATGAATGTCGCCCACATTCCCAGACCGTGCGCTGCCCCAAAGTTTTCACTCAAAAGTTTTCAAAATACCAGAATTTATCGGAAATTACTCGTTTCTTTGTATAAAACTGTGATCAAAGAAAAAAAATTGTTTCCATGATAATAAGAGAGGTGAATAAATTCCTAAATAATTAAATATATTAATTTATCAAGGTTTTAAATTTTTACACTTACAAGCATTTTTCAAAAAACGCTAAAATACGTTTCTCCTTACGCATCAGTGATTTTAGAATGATAATGTAACGGAATCCATAGAAAAAAATTCAATAAGCAGCGTGACAAGTATTTTAACAAAGTTGGTTAAAGATGAAAAAAAATTGATGCGTCATTTCGAGCCTAACGAGCCGCGACGGTACCG